GGATGGGTGGCAGTGACGGCTCATGAAAAAGAGGAATTGCTGCTCCGAGCCTATACTCCCAAGGGCACCGCATTGGTGGTGCGGGAGCCTCCCCTTTTGCCATACATCAGTTCCATCCGAGGGTCACGGATCGCAGGCACTGCTGCCTACAGGACCAAAAAGCCTCCCTCCTTTGTGGAAAACCTGAAAACCACAGGGAGCAGATAGCACTTCTTGTCATCTGAAGAAAGCAGAAGAGCTTCTGGAGAACCTTGTTGCTTACTGATATTCGGAAGACCTTGGACTCCTTTCAAAAGGCAGACAGGCACATTTTGGAAAGCAGGACTGGGGGGAGCTCCGCAAGTCTTTACCTGATGCAGTTGCTGAACTGCAGCCATTTTGAATGAGCTGAGTGGCTGGTACCTTGCTGTGAGAGGTGAAACAGTTTCTCCTTGAGATCCACCAGTATCTACCAGCAAATCCCTTTACCTGCCCTCTCTTGAAATACAGGATGGAAACTCACCTGCCTGACGCGGGCTGGCTCTGCTGCTTGTAGAGTAGAAGGCTTGTTGCAGACATGCTCCTTCAGCTCAGAAATCACCTTGTTCTTGGAGCCTTTACAGTGTTTCCACAGTTACGGAGGTGGAGGGAATTGGAAAGAACAGGGAATTTTCTGTCGTGGTTGTGACTCTTCTAATTGTAGTGGCTGATACTGATTCAACATCAACCAAAAATCGTGTCCTTTCACTCCTTCAGAGTCTGAGGCAGATGAGGATGTGCAGTGCCCTGCTTTTGGACACAGGAAAGGTGAATCAATGAAAAACAGGTCTGCTGGTGTGCGTGAACAGGAAACTTTTACAACTCACTGTTTTGATTTGGTTTTTGCAGCTTGTGTAAAGGTTTTTGAAACTGAGGGTGTAAAATAAAACTTTTCAAAACCACTCTTTTGTATCATTTTCAAATAGTTGACAAAGCACTCTTGTGTGGGCATAAGCATCCTGACAAATACATGAAAGCTCCAGCAAGATAATACATGTGCTAAATCTGCAGAGAGTGAGAGAGAGACATAACCAGACAGTCTGCTGAAGAAGAGGCAAAAAAGAGTATTTTCTAATCTCTCCTTACCAATACTCTTCACTTTCCCTGTTCTGTTTTACCCACCCAAAGAACTGATGTCACAACCCATCAGTCAGGGACACAATACATGTTGTAAATTCTCATCAGGCTGAACAAAGACCCCGGGCCCGTGCCAGGGAGCTCCTGTGCTTTGCTGTACAGTCCCCATAACTCTGGTAACCAGCCCAGTAGTTCGACTCCAAAGGTCTTGGCCAAGAAGCCCTTCAATTTTTTAAAAGTACACTTCTCAGAATGGTGGCTTCATTTCTTACCATCCACTTCAATAAGTTCTCAACTCCTACAAGAGTGTGGGGCCCACCTGCCAAGCACAGCTGATGAGGAGCTGCCCCTGAAGGAGGTGACAGAGAAGGTCTGCTGTCTTGGCGTGCTGGCTGCAGCCTTGCTGTCCCACCCGACTGGGGCTGCTCAGCGGTGTCTGGATACCTCATGGCTCGAGGAAATGCTGGTGGGGAGGCTGCCTGGAAGAGCAGGCTTAGGCACGATGGGAAGGGCTGCTCAGTGTGTTTTGTGGCTGCTCATCTGCATGTGTGCAGGTGAAAGGTGCTGGTGGGTTCTGTGTTGGGGAACTGCAAGTCCTCTGTTTTTCCAAGTGCTGATTCATGTTTGCTGCTGGAAGTGCTGTGGCTCCTGGACCCCCCCAGTATATGTCCAGAAAAACTGATCTAGAGGATTGCACGATAAACTCACGTTTTCCTATAATACTTCTAATCGTGGCTGATATGGTTTTCAGTTACAAAAGCCAATACTGAGTTTAGAAATCACCTTGTTCTTGGAGCCTTTACAGTGTTTCCACAGTTACGGAGGTGGAGGGAATTGGAAAGAACAGGGAATTTTCTGTCGTGGTTGTGACTCTTCTAATTGTAGTGGCTGATACTGATTCAACATCAACCAAAAATCGTGTCCTTTCACTCCTTCAGAATCTGAGGCAGATGAGGATGTGCAGTGCCCTGCTTTTGGACACAGGAAAGGTGAATCAATGAAAAACAGGTCTGCTGGTGTGTGTAAACAGGAAACTTTTACAACTCACTATTTTGATTTGGTTTTTGCAGCTTGTGTAAAGGTTTTTGAAACTGAGGGTGTAAAATAAAACTTTTCAAAACCACTCTTTTGTATCATTTTCAAATAGTTGACAAAGCACTCTTGTGTGGGCATAAGCATCCTGACAAATACATGAAAGCTCCAGCACGATAATACATGTGCTAAATCTGCAGAGAGTGAGAGAGGGACATAACCAGACAGTCCGCTGAAGAAGAGGCAAAAAAGAGTATTTTCTAATCTCTCCTTACCAATACTCTTCACTTTCCCTGTTCTGTTTTACCCACCCACAGAACTGATGTACTACCCATCAGTCAGGTTCACAATACATGTAAATTCTCATCAGGCTGAACAAAGACACCGGGCCCGTGCCAGGGAGCTCCTGTGCTTTGCTGTACAGTCCCCATAACTCTGGCAACCAGCCCAGTAGTTCGACTCCAAAGGTCTTGGCCAAGAAGCCCTTCAATTTTTTCCAGTACACTTCTCAGAATGGTGGCTTCATTTCTTACCATCCACTTCAATAAGTTCTCAACTCCTACAAGAGTGTGGGGCCCACCTGCCAAGCACAGCTGATGAGGAGCTGCCCCTGCAGGAGGTGACAGAGAAGGTCTGCTGTCCTGGCGTGCTGGCTGCAGCCTTGCTGTCCCATCCAAGAGTGGATGCTCAGTGGTGTCTGGATACCTCACGGCTCGAGGAAATGCTGGTGGGGAGGCTGCCTGGAAGAGCAGGCTTAGGCACGATGGGAAAGGCTGCTCAGTGTGTTTGCATGTGGCTGGTCTGGGCTTCATCTGCATATGTGCAGGTGAAAGTGCTGGCAGGTTTTCTGTGTTGGAGAACTGCAAGTCCTCTGTTGTTCCAAGTGCTGATTCATGTTTGATGCTGGAAGTGCTGTGGCTCCTGGACCCCCCCAGTATGATGTCCAGAATAAAACAATCTTTTCTCTCCTCTGACTCTATCTGCCATCAGATATTCTGGAGAGCTGTGGGTGATGGCGGTGCAGGTGCTTCAGGGGTGTCAGGACTTAAAGAATGCGTTTAGGTGTCTTGTCAGAGAAGGAAATTGCCATAAGATAAGCCACTACACTGTACAGGGCTGGACCTCATCATTTGAGAAGGTCCTCAAACGCCTCCAGTGGAGAAGTCTTTTTTGTACTTGCTATGGGTATGTGATTCAACTTGGTTATGACTGCATGCTTTAAAAAGGAAAGAAGGTGTGTTTTCAGCACCCTAATCATAAAGTCAGTGAGAAATTAAATAAAATGGTATACAACTGAAATTTAGAGGAACCCTGCATGAAAGGCAGCTTTTTCTTTGTGCAGGAAAGAACTGAGTGGCGGGATCACCACACTGTGCACTTGGAAAGCTTAAAAATTTAGGTGGTATGGCAGGAGAGGTGGAAGAAAGACTGAAAGCAAGGGCAAAGGTTGCTTGTTACTGACAGGAAACACGAACAGAAAATGTGCTTCCTTAAGGTCTTGATATGCTAATCGTGTCCCCCTTGATGTGTTTGGGGGGAGATTGGAGGAGATGGGATTCTTCATTTTGATAGCTTAAATCACTGGTAATAATGCATTTATATTGTATGATATATGCATAATAATGCATTTATATTGCACAAAGAGTTTAAAACCCTGTTCACTGTCATAACTGGGCATGTGGGTTTTTGATTTTTTTTTTTTCATTCAAGTAGCACTTATTCACATGTATACAGCCTCTGGAGCATCTAAAAAGTGTGTGGTTTTCTTTTGGGGGTGAGTCCAGCTTTAGGACTACAATAGGAAAAAACATTACTGTTACTGGGACATGGGGTGGAAAACCCGAAAATAGAGTATTGTATCTCCAGGGGCTGCACTCCGTGGCAGGCTTGGTGAAAGTGCCTGTCAGCTCTAATTTACAAAAGAAATGGTTGTTGAAAGTCAAGAAACACTTACAAAAATTTCACATAGTAAAAAATTATTACTGACACTTTTTTCTTTCTAAGACTTGGGAAAAAAAAATTTCCACTGACCACTCAGCACTCAGTACTACTCAATGTGGAGGTAAGTATATAGACTAAATAATAAAGCATGGATGGAATGGCAATATTTCTTCTAATCTCTTTCATGCTTTTAGCTCAAGGCCACAGTGAAATCAACAAGTAGCAAGTTTCAAAAGAGTAAGTGGACTTGTCAGTGCAGTGTATGCATAACCTTGGAAGCAAAGGCCTTTGAGAGACCATGGTCAAGAATACAGGGAAAGCAACCAAGTTTTATGGGTGGATAAGATCTACATTCTCAATACGGAAAATTAAACCTATTCTCCATCCTTAGCAGTTCTGGCATAAATTGGCTTTGATTGCCTAGACAATGAAGATACTTCCTTGATCTGCACGAGTTTCAGGTGGGTTTCAGGACTTTGGGACCTTATTCTGAACTCTCTGCTATGTCTAACACGTGTCACTGACAGGCAGGGTACTGAACTCCATGAATGATGGGTGTGTTGATGGTGATTTTTATGACACCAAGATTCTAAATCTCCTTTGAAGAAATCATGACGTAATATTTGCACTCTTGGAAGAAGTGTGAACTGCCACTTGCTCCCTCCCAGCCCCAGCCCCATCCTCATCCCCGCTCCCTTCCCAATTCCCATTCGCAGTGGAACAGGGAAGAAAGTCAAAAGGAAAACTGGTATGTTGAGATAAGAACAGTTTAATAATTGAAACAGAGTAAAATACAATATGAATACGAATCCTACAACTAATACTACTACTAATACAAATACTAACTGAAATATTCAGAAAAACTAATGGCCCCCTAAGCGCCCCCTCTTCTGTGTCACTGCCCCAGTGGATCCAGTGGGGAGGAAGCTTCTTCAGGTTTCATCTGAGTGCCACCCGTCGCTGGAATTGGGGGAAGGCATCCCAGAGCCATGACATCTCCTGTCCTCCCTCAGCTGCTTTGCTTCATTGATCGCAGCTGTCAGGCCGGAGAGGGGCTTGGCTGAGAGTACAAATGGATGCTGCCCAAAGGAAAAGAAAAGAAAAGAAATGAACCATTCCTTTCCAAACTCGGTTCCTCGCGAGCTCAAGCAGTATTCCTCGGGTTACCAGAAACAGGCAGAAACAGGACTGAGGGGAGCATCTGCACCTCTGCCTTCATGCCCAGGACCTGGTTCTCACGGGCAAACATAATCCTATGAACCCATTTCTCAAGGTGTCTTCATCTCGATGGGAACTTTGCCCTGCCAGGGCTGTGGGAATGCTGCTTACTGACCCTGGCCTTGGGTCCTTCCAGGAAACTCAGAAGACTTTCTTAGGTTCCTCTTTCTTAAAGACATGGGCCACACTAGTGGCTCATGAAAAAAGATGAGGAGCATAAGCTGCTCCTGAGGAAACTCAAGAAATGTTTCTCCCAGTAGCATTTGGGCTGACGTGCTGTTCTGAAGAGCACGGAGGTGCAGGTTTTCAGCACCAGAACAAGAGCAGGGAGACAAGTGGTGGAGGGCTGATGGGCTCAGCTCTGCTTGCAGTGAGAGCAGTGTCTATCCTGCCCCTGCCGTGCTGGCTGGCCCCTTCCTTCCCTGCAGGGACAGTCGAGTGGCACATTCAGCAGCTCCCTCTCTGCCAGCAGAGCTGGCAGCAGCCCTGGAGGAGTTCCCATCTCCTTGCCTGTGCCAGGCAGCAAATGGGGCTGGGACAAGTCCTGCTCAGCTGTCGCTGTTTTGGTGGCAGAAGCCACTGAATTGGGGCAGCTGGGTGGCAGAAAGCTCCAGGAGTGGGGCAGCAGGGATGATGCTGACAGGGAGCTCCCCACAGCCCCTTCCTCAGCACAGCCAAGTTCTGGCACCACTTGGCAGGGACTGATTTGCTTGGGTTCCTCCACCAGCAGCACCATTTCAGGGCTCCCTTCCCGGGATTAGGAAGCAGAGAAAACGGCTCCTGCTGCCTTAGATACAAACCAGGGCCACCAAAAGGATCAGAGGATTAATGCGAGGGTGGGGCCGCAGCTGATGCCTTGGAGTTTAGCAGATGAGAACACCCACGCATGGGACAGTTGTGTCCCTTGCAGCCATTTTACCTGCAGAAGTTCCTCAGCAGAGCCTCGACTGTCCTCGTCTGTCTGCAAGCAGCAGCTCAGAAAGTCCTGCAGGGCAGGGGACAGTTCCTGCTGGTTTGGCAGCTCCGGTATCCCCTCGGAGGCGATGAGACGCAGGGCCTGGAGGAAGAGGAAAGACCGGACTTTACCTCTTTCTTTCCTATGCCTAACTGCTCACACAGACCCCATTTTTGAGGCTCCATCCTGCAGTGGCACTTTCTTGCCTGGCAGAGGCTTCAAAACGAGTTTTCTAACTGAGAAAAAGACCCCGATGCAGCCACAGCTCTTCCAACATCCAAAGGGTCTTGCCTTGAGAGCCGATTTCATCGGCCGACCAAGTCAGTAGGAACACCATCGGCAAAAGCACATTTTGCTTCTCTGAGGATTGACTTTAGAGGCTTTTTTTCCGGTTCTTTTCAAGGTTGATGCAACTAAAGCTCTAGTAGATGCCGATGTGCTCCAGGGCCTTTTTTTGAGGGATGGGGCTTGGTTGAACTAGTCCAAGCTGGTGGGAATGGGATGTTTTCTCATGGGAGGCCAAACATGGGACAGATTAGAAAGACAGTGGTTATCTGGGGGTATTTGCGCCTTACCCTGTGAGGATTTTCCCAAAAATAAGGAGGCTCTCCTTCTAGCATTTCTATCACCACGATGCCCAGTGCCCAGATGTCCACTTTGGATCCGTATTCGTCTCTCGTGACGTATTCGGGTGCCATCCAGTGAGGTGTCCCAACGAGAGAGCTTCGCTTGCTCTGCTCAGGTGTGACGCGAGCAGCGAGACCAAAGTCAGCTGAGGACAAAAGGCAGTCTCATGAAAGGCAGCCTGAGTCCTGAAGCCAAGTGCAAGAATTCCCCTCTGGAAGCCTGAGGAGGCTGAATGTAGGCGGCAAAGCGGCCGTGCTGTGTTTCCTCAGGGCTGTAGCCGAGGACACCTCGTTCCCCTCTGCACGTTGCAAGTGTGCTCTCAGCCTGCAGCCGTGCTGCCTGCACTGCCACAGGCACCACTTTTTGGGAACTGGCAGTCAGGCTCCAGCAGCCCCACGCGCCGCATGCCGGGAACAGCGGGCCTGACCGAGAACACCTACCCAACTTGACGGATCCATCCATTCCCAGGAGAAGGTTGTCGCCTTTGACATCCCTGTGGATCACCTGGTGGCAGTGGAGGAACGCTAGTGCTTGCAGGCACTGCGAGAGAAAAAAGAAAGAGGAGAGTAACAAGGAATGACCCCATTTCATTCCCCCAAAAAAGAAATGGCATTCAAGCTTTTCGTTCTAGGGGAACAGGGAGGGCTGGCAGAACGTGGTGCTGCCAAGAGGAAGAGCTTGTTGCTTCCTGCCTAGTAAACCCCCATCTTTCTGAGGGAAGGCATAGGAGCTCTGGAGCTTTGCAAAGCGAAATGGCAATTGTTGTCACAGCGCACGCCCTGCAGACCCAGAGGAAAATGAGTGCTGCTGCAGTGCACGGGCTCTCTCCATCCAGAGGAGGCCATTCAGCAAAGGTGCTCTTTCTTCTCCATCTCAGAAAAGCAACATGGAAACAAAGCTCTGAAGGTGAAATCACTCCTGTTCTCACCACTTGTTGAGAAGTGCCAGCCTGCGCAAAGAACTGGAAGCAGCAGTGGCATCCCTTACCTCCCGGGAGACAGCTGCCATCAGTCCTTCCTCCAGATGTATTTCCTTAACCAGATCACTTAAGGGGCCTCCGTCTACGTATTCCATAACTATCAGTAGTTTATCTCCAAGCAGGTAGCTGAAAGAAGAAACGAATGGCATGGAGAATGGGCATAGCTAAATTACTCGACTTCAGAGACTAGAACTGATTTCTGTCCCTGGAAGACTTGGGAATGAACACAGAAGAAAAGGCAGAGACATTCCTCCTCGCCTATACACTCCTTGGAATCTGTGGAGTCTGAGTGAGAAAGGCACATCTGTGAAAACTGAGATGTCTCAGATGGCAAGGGGGTGAAAAATGCAGAGAAATCATTTCCATGATGATTTCTCCGCACTTGTGATCATAAGAGACTGAAAAAAGTGTATGAAACTTAAAGACAACCCCCAAACAAACAACAAAACCACCTGGAGGTTGGGAACGTACAGGCTGTTGTTTTAGGAAGATAGAGAGGACTTGAAACAATGCCTGTCCGAAAAGGTGAATGCCGACAAAATGCACTCTCCTCCCAGACATTGTATAGGAACAGATGAAAAATAAGAAGAAAAAGCTGACTTCTCTGCCAGAGACCACAGGGGGTGCTTTCAACCTTTGGCTTGCAGTCTGTAAAGGAGCAGTCACGTGGTCATACCACAACTCCCTACCTGTCCAAATAGTTGACCAGATTTGGATGTTTATTGTCCCTCATGATCATGAGCTCATCAACAATTTGTTCCTTTCTGCAGCTGCTTGTGGAGATAAACTTGCTTTATGGCCACCTGAAAGGACACGGAAAACCATGACCTTGGGAAGTCTCTTGCCCCAGATCTGAACGAATTTTGATTTGGCAACTCTAAAAAACACAGCTTAGATTTGCAGTTGTTTCCTGGCTTGAAAGACAAATCAGATGCTCTGGGGCATTTTATGGAAACGCTCTGGGTTAGGAGCAGGGCTTGGGGTTTTTTGGTCCCTGCTAGACCTCCATGCAAGTTCCAAAGCCCAGCACTGCCTGGGGATGAGAAACTCCCCAGAAGATTGCAATGTGTTTGCTGACAGCCAGAAATGCTGACAATTCAGAAATCCCAAGCTGGAGCCCCAAAGGGCTCTCCCAAATGGATTTGGTAGGCTGGCACCGGTCTGCGCTCCAGAGGAACAGCCTTTGCAGGAAAGATCTGCTGGGGACCCAAAGCTCCAGCCACAGCTCGGCCCAGAGTGGAAAGCACTGGAGAGCTGCAAAACCTGCTGGGAACGTTGACACTTACCTCTCCTCCTGTGGCACTGTCGGTCACTCTATAGACCGTTCCGAAAGCCCTAGAAAGGAAAGAGCAGCAAAGAAAGGAATGGTTTCCACGTCTAAACCATGTGGTTCTGCTCCTGAGGAGCAGGGAAGATTGTTCTCAGTCATATATTTGAAGTTCCTGAGAACTGGGATCTGACAGCTCTCAGGTGCTGGGTTGCTCTTTGAGGCAAGAAAGTTTCTTTCTCCTTTCTTTCCCTTGGCTGTACGATTTGGAGACACAGAGCCATCATTTCTCCCCAGAAAAGCATCAAAGAGGGGCCAGGCACTGGAAGGACAGGAGATCTTGCAGGTCCTGCTTCTTGCTGCAGGCAAGACACCGCCAGCACGCAGTTGTCTTGGAGGATGCCCTCTGACCACGGTTCTAAATGGGGATCAGGACTGAGAGGCAGGAGGATCTAAACCCAGTGTCTGAACACCTTTGGAGCTTGTCTGACTTCCTGCCTGACCTTGCCCCGGCAAAATCCCGGGGTTTGTCGAAGGAACTGTGGTCAGACTTACCCACTGTCAATTTTTGCCCATTCAAGGTAGATCGTCCAAGGATCTCCCACACTCACAACACTCCCTGAAAGCAAGCAAATGACAGATGGTCACTTCCAAATGAAGATACCACCCTCCAGCAGACCAGGACTGCCGCTCCTCTGCCTGGGCCTGGGAGCTGAAGTCACTTGGGGAACAACAACAACAACAACGACGACACTGGCCACAAGAGAGGCAGATGTGTAGCCCAGATGGCTTCCACAAAGACTGGTTTCCTACTGTGCTTTGAAGAGTTCCCTTTCTCCCAGGAAACGGAGAGAAAGAGGGAGAAACATTGTGAGGAGACAGAAAAGAACAGGTAGGGAGGCAAGCGTTTGCTGTCCTGGAACATTAGCACTGCCCTCTCAGGCAAGGAAGGCAGAAGACCTACTCAGTTTCTCCAGGCTCTCCTCATCTGCCCTCTTTTGCTGCCAGTAGGTGCTGCTGTAGGAGCTGCTGGGAGTGCTCATGTAGGAGATCTCAGGAGTGGGAGTGTCGGCTTCCTCAGCAGCTTCCGAGTCTTCGGATGCTGGGGCAGGGGCAGATTTTGTTCCAGAGCCTGCGCTGGTCTGTGACAAGAAATCAGTTGGTGTCAGAAAGGAGGCTTGCAGGGATCCTTCCCATCAGTAGTTCAGCCTTTAGGGAAGAGCCCTGAAGTTCCAGCCCTTCTCAGAGCCCCAACCAAAGCTGGCTCCTACTGATTTTGGATGTTCAGGCTCTGGTGCAACAAGAGCTGGAGCTTCGTTGTTGTCTTCCTCCTCTTCATCCTCATAGAGTGAGGACAGAGAAGGAGCCCGAGGAGGGTCAGCTGCTGGTGGTGTCCTCTGTGGAGAGACAGCAGCGTGAGGGACAGGGAGTTGCAGCTCATTTAGAACCTTCCTTCTCTGCAGCTCTCTCTCCAGCTGTACTGAGGAGAACTCCTCCCCTTTGCTAGCAGGGGGATTCTAAGTGGCTAAAAGTAAATTCAAGGGGGCTGGCTAATTAGACAGCACTGCATCTTGTTGGGAACTCTTATTGTTTCAGCATGGCTAAAAGCAGCAAGAAACTTTTCTGCCTGCAAGACCAGACTGTCATCTACTTTAACGCCCTGCAAGCGAAAATTAAAATTGGACAGCCAGGGAAGCCTTTTCTGCTGATGCAGAGACCCTGAAGAAGACTTTCTTTCAGCCTGGAGAGCTGGCACTCGCTTGCAACAGCTTTCTGACAAATTCTGAAAGGCGAGGAACATCCAAGGTTACTTTGTCACTCACCGAAGGACGGGCTCTTCTGCGTCTAAACACGTACTGGCCTGCAATGGGCAAAGGAAAATGAAGTCGATGTTAGAAAAGTGGCTGTTGTGGGGAATACCGTGGAACAAGTCAACCCAAATGGAGAGTATTTTTCTTTCACAACATCCCTTCAGTAGCAACAGTTCGCCTCTCCTCTCCCTCTCCTCTCCCTCTCCTCTCCCTCTCCTTTTCCCCAGTAAAGCTTCCCCAAGTTCCCCTCTAGCCATCACCCTTCTATTCTCACACAGCACACTAACAGCTCCCATCTTTGGCAGCACACACTGCCTTCAGCTTTGCATTTCAGCCCCAAAGGAACAGCTCTTTGAGCAAACACTGTGCCATGTCAGACCCTCCAACCTTTCCAAGACAGAATTTAGGAAAGAACTGCAGGGAACTGCTCAGTCTTTAGAGGGCTTTCTCAAGAGCTCAGCCAGTCTGGATTTGGGAAGCTCTATTGGCTGAAGCAGCAAAGCAGGCAATTCCAGACTGCACTGCCACGGACTAAGCCGGGCAGGGAGCACAACCCTGCGGGTTCAACTCCAAATGCTGCCCACACCCCGAGGAAGGGCTGGACACACCCCCTCGGTGGCTGGAGCTCTTGCCATGAGCTTTCCCAAAGCCACGGTGTCTGCGGGGCATTTTGCTTTCCAAGGCAATGCAGTCACTAAGGGAGAGCATGAACAGCACCTTGATCCCAAAGGCAGAGGAAAACCCTCGACTTACTTGCTAGATGGGTCAGCAGCCCGGGTTTGTCCGGGTGGGAACAAAAAGCGTAGGCCACGGGAAAAACACCTGGCGAAAGGCGGCACAGACTCTGCGCAACACTTTAGCCATGCTGGGCAAGAGTTGCGCAGCCTGTGCCCGCCAAGGGAGAAAAGGACACCCCTGGTGTCAAGGTGCAGCCTGCTGGAGGCGAGGGCCTCGATCAGGAGCAGCCTCTTGCCAGGAGCACGCCAAACACGCTCTGCACACGGAGCCTTCCGGGCAGCAGGACAAAGGTCCGAGCACCAGGACAACAGTCCGTGCAGCAGGACAATGGTCCCTGTACCGGGACAACAAATCCCTGCACCGGGACAACGGTCCGTGCCCCAGGACAATGGTGCCAGTGACATCACAATCGCAACCGCAGCCTCACAGAGGTGCCCCAAGATGCCATGCTACCTGGAAGATGACGTGCAGACATTTGGACTGACACCTGCCCAGGAAAATAAGAGGCAATGGGTCTCTATCAAAATCTAGAGCTAAAAGCAGGACCCCCTGTGAACAAGAAAATAAAGGAATGACCATTGAAGGAAAGAAAGGGCACGGAACTCATGTGGAAAGGAGCTCTACCCTTCCCTGGAAGAAGGATTTAGGGTTTAGCTTGTTTTCCTGGGGGTTTAGTGCCGACATCAAGGGACTCTCCTCTACTGGTGGACAACCCAGTGTCCTTTCGAATTTTTATCCTGGACTTGTGGTGCTTAGGAAAGCAATCCCATTTGGTGAAATGATCGCTGCTGTCTGCTTCAAAGGCACAGCCCATACAATGAATGTCCAGCTTAGCAGGGAACACTGCGGGGTAAGGAATGTGCCTTTCTGCTCTCCAGCTCCTTCCCTGGAGGTGTCCCACTGCTGCTAAGCAGGTCTTTTTGTCCAGCTCCTGTAGCTCTGCAGGTTCTCTGCTGTAAATAGACAGGACACAGGGACTGGGAAAACAGGCGGAGAGTGCCAAAGCCTTGGAGGAAATCTTGGGCTCCCCCTTCGGGGTGAGGGTGTCATTTGAAAACTGCTTCACTTGCTGTAATTGATGTAAAGGAAGACAGAAAGAAAGAAAAGAAAGTTCAGTCAGAATGTGGGACAACTTAGAAGTTGGGAGGAGGAGGAAACCAGTGGTCCAAAATGGGCAAGTCCCATCAAAAATGGGAGTTATGAGGCTTAGAGCAAATAGATCAGGTGGTAGACAGGCCACAGGAAGGCAGGCTTAGGAAAACAGGAAAAACAGAAGAGTTCCAAAGTTTGGAAGCATCGTTGCACCCTCCTCCTCTTGTGTTTAACCCAGTCAAGCCCAGACTGCAAAGAGCAAGAGCTGTGAGATTTTAGTTGCTGCCTCAGTTTTCTTTTTTTTTTCTGTTTCAAGCTCCTGAAAGTCCTGAAGAGGAGAGAGGAGGCGACTTGCAAGCAATACTCATCAGTTCACACACTTTAACCCTCTGTGCTATAGAAGAAATTGGATTCCCTCTCTTCTTCTCTCTGAGTTGTCTTGGTTAGCATTAGCATCTCAGCACTAGGAGCTAAAGAAGTCAAAGCCTTAGCCCCCACGAGCTGACCAGGAGGAAAGTTTTTGGTAAAACTAATGCTGTTAACATGGAAGTAGCTGTCTCTGGCAGAGAGAATCATGGACTCAGAGTGCTTTAGGCTGGAAAAGGCTACTAAGCTCATTGAGTGCAACCATTAACCTAGCATTGCCAATCCCACCACTAAACCATGTTCCCAAGTGCCTCATCTACGTGTCTTTTAAATCCCTCCAAGGAAAGTTACCCTACCACTGCCCTGGGCAGCCTGTTCTTGAAACTCAAGCAAAAGAAATTAAATAAAAAAAAATTCACTCGCAGGGAGTGTGCCACTTTCTACTATTGCACCAGACTGTAGAATCCTCCTCCTCCTCAACACAGACTAGTGTACCCACTCATACCTTCCAGCTGGAACGAAAAAGCCCCAGAACTCTCAAACTTCAAAGCCCAGAGTTCTACTGATCCCAATCCTTCCTTCTCTGAGAATCAAAAATGATGATTTCATGAGGGCTGAGCCTAATGGCCTCCAGCTTCCATTGATGCCAAAGTAATTTGGCAGTCAGAGCTCTTCTGAAAAATGGGAGGGTAATTTGTACCGGAATGCACAAGTTACATGTTTGTGTTTTAAATGCGCTGCAGCCACTGGATGGGCCAAGGTTGGAAAGCGTCTTTCCTGCCTTATTGGTGTGAATAGGCAGCACCAGCTTTAGGAGTACAGTGGGAAAGAAGATTACTGTTGCTAGGACATGGGATGGAAAACCCGAAAAGAGAGTATTGTATCTCTAGGGAGCTGCAGTGGGTGGCAGGCTTGGTGAAAGTGCCTGTCAGCTCTAATTTACAAAAGAAATGGTTGTTGAAAGTCAAGAAGCACTTACAAAAATTTCACATAGTAAAAAATTATTACTGAGAATTTTTTCTTTCTAAGACTTGAGAAAAAAAATTTCCACTGACCACTCAGCACTCAGTACTACTCAATGTGGAGGTAAGTATATAGACTAAATAATAAAGCATGGATGGAATGGCAATATTTCTTCTAATCTCTTTCATGCTTTTAGCTCAAGGTCACAGTGAAATCAACAAGTAGCAAGTTTCAAAAGAGTAAGTGGACTTGTCAGTGCAGTGTATGCATAACCTTGGAAGCAAAGGCCTTTGAGAGACCATGGTCAAGAATACAGGGAAAGCAACCAAGTTTTATGGGTGGATAAGATCTACATTCTCAATACGGAAAATTAAACCTATTCTCCATCCTGAGCAG